TCCCTGCCCCGCACTGCTGACTCCGCAGAGGAGAGAAGAGCTGCAGGATTCCCTGGGACTGCCACACAACGCAGCCACATCCCGATCTGGAGCTGTGTGGACCTTCCCTCTCAGCTCGCCCTGTTCCACTCCTGCACCAAGCACCCAGGGCCTTTGCCGCCTGGCTGGCTTCCTCGGGCTCTCTTCTCTAGGCACCGGGAGAACCTCCAGTGAGCAAACTCACTAGTGGCAAACTCGCCTTCCACGCAGGGGCTGTTCTGCCAACTGCCTTAGTCTCCTCCACTGTCAAAACACCAGGCCGGGGCCCGGCGCGGTGGCGCAAGTGGTTAAAGGTCCTCGCCTTGCACGCCCGGGAGCCCATATGGGCGCCGGTTCTAATCCCGGCAGCCCCGCTTCCCTTCCAGCTCCCTGCTTGTGGCCCGGGAAAGTAGTCGAGGACGGCCCAAAGCTTTGGGACCCTGCACCCGCGTGGGAGACCCGGAAGAGGCTCCTGGCTTCGGATCGGCATAGCATCGGCCCGTTGCGCTCACTTGGGGAGTGAATCATCGGACGGAAGATCTTCCTCTCTGTCTCTCCTCTCTGTATATCCGCCTTTCCAATCAAAACATAATAAAAATAAATCTTTAAAAAACACCAGGCCGGACCAGAGTTGAGTGGGGCTACTGCTGGGACTTCAGGTTCCTGCAACACTTGTCTGGTCACCATGCGTGGGCACCACAGGCAAGATGCAGCTGACGGGGAGACAGGCCTCAGGGAGGGCAGGGAGAGGGCGTGCCCAGCCTCCCAGGCGTCCATCCCCAGCACAGGCTCTGGGCCAAGTACCTGCTGGCTGTCCGCACCCCAGAGCAGAGGTGCTAAAGAGGCAAGGAGCAATCAAAGATTCTGCACCCCCGAGGAACACACCCCCAGGGAAGGAAGCTCCTGTCGACCTGCCATGGCAGGGTCACGGCTTCCAGGCCTGGCCCACTGCCCGCCTCCGCCCTACTGCGTGTGGAAGCGGCCAGAGAGAGCTGTGATGCCCAGACTGTCAGCCCGCCTAACAGCTCACGGCGAAGAATCAGCTGAGAGCAGCTAAGCACAGGATGCCAGGGAAGGAGGCCTTACCCACATCCTTCCATCTGCATTGTCCAACTTTCCTCTATCCACCAGGCTGCCCAGAGTCTCCAGAGAAACCCAGGAGGCACTGTCCACTCGCTTGGCGCAGCTGCCCACCTGGAGCCATCCACGCTCCCAACTCCCGCCACAGGGCAACTCAGCCAAGCCCAGCCCAGTGGGGTGTGTGGCCCTCTAGGACCAAGACAGGGACAGATGGCCATGAAAGGACTGTGTGCTGTGACTTCGGCAGCCCTGCAAGGGCCCGGAAATGCGCGCTCACCCCCGCGCAGCCCAGCTCATCACCCCAAGGAGAGTGTCCCGAGCTGTGTGGGGTCACCGGAGGTGGTGTGCCCCGCACGTATCACGTGTCCTGACGCCTAAACGGGGATAGGAGATCACACGGCCAGTGTGGTTTGTGCTCCTAATTAGCAGCGTGAACAGGGCCTGGCGGCAAAGGGGGGGTGGGGGGGCAGCTTTCAGCTGCTCCTCTCTTGGAAGGCAATGTCTGTTACGAAACGTTCCCCGGGGCGGGAAGGTCAGTGCAGGCCGATCTGTCCCGTGGGGTCCCATGACACCCAGCAGGGCTTGTAAGCACCTCACAGGAGAACCACGATGTGCCCCAACTCTGCTCTGCTGGGGCCGTGGCTGTGCCTGCCCCACAAAGGGAATGCAGAGGCCCCAATCCTGGGGCTCTGTGAGGGACTGCAGAGCCGGCATTGTGGTGGGGCCAGTAAAGCGACCTCCTGAGGGCAGGTCTGAGTTCCGACTGACCCACTTTGATCCAGCTCCCTGCTGACGTGCCTGGGACAGCAGCAGCACACAGCCCGAGTACTTGGGCCCCTGCCACTTGTGTTGCAGACCAGGACAAAGCTCCTGGCTCCTGGCTGCAGACTGGCCCAGCCCTGGCCCCTGGCTCTTGGCTGCAGACTGGCTCCTGGCTCCTGGCTGCAGACTGGCCCAGCCCTGGCTCCTGGCTCCTGGCTTCTGGCTGCAGACTGGCCCAGCCCTGGCTCCTGGCTCTTGCCTGCAAACTGGCCCAGCCCTGGCTCCTGGATCCTGGCTACAGACTGGCCCAGCTCTGCCTGTTATAGCCAATAGGTAGGTACATCAGTAGATGCAAGGTCTCTTTCTCTCACTCTCCCTTTGAAATAAAGAAACTCTCTTAAAAAATAATAAATAGGAGGAAGAAGAAAGAAAAAGGAAGGAGAAAGGCCTCTGCCGATGGGATGGAGTCCAGATGAGGTCATCATGGAAGAAAAGTGGCTCCCTGCAGCTCCCACACCCTGTAGGAAGAGGGGACACTAACACAGGACAATGTCCACGATGACAGAGGTGGACGTGGCAGGGAGGCAGCCACAACCCAGGGCTGCTGGCCACTGCGAAGCTTCAGGGGTCGTGGACAGCCCTGTGCCCAGCGCCTGCAGAGGGGGTGGCCTCTGGACAGATAGAACGTCTGTTGGAAGCTCTCACTGTACAGTGCTGCATCAGACTACACACACACAGGAGGCCACTGGGGACGGCTCCCATGGACTCACAGGCCTGCCACCATCTAAACACACACACAGGAGGCCACTGGGGACGACTCCCACGGACTCACAGGCCCGCCACCATCTACACACATACACAGGAGGCCACTTGGGGACGACTCCCACGGACTCACAGGAGGCCACTGCGGATGACTCCACACACACACACAGGAGGCCACTGGGGACGACTCCCACGGACTCACAGGCCTGCCACCATCTACACACATACACAGGAGGCCACTTGGGGACGACTCCCACGGACTCACAGGAGGCCACTGGGGATGACTCCCACGGACTCACAGGAGGCCACTGGGGACAACTCCACACGGACTCACAGGAGGCCACTGGGGACGACTCCCACGGACTCACAGGCCCGCCACCATCTACACACATACACAGGAGGCCACTGGGGACGACTCCCACGGACTCACAGGAGGCCACTGGGGATGACTCCACACACACACACACAGGAGGCCACTGGGGACGACTCCCACGGACTCACAGGGCCATCACTGAGCTGCCTGCTTTTGGCACCGTGAAGTCATGACTCAAAAAAATACATACTTAACCGTCCCCCGTGCTTGAACTCAACCTTCAGAATGACCCCAAATCCCGCAGCCTGCTTCCTTGTCCACAGGCACGCAATCAGCCATTCCTGGCACGTGAGGAACGCCGTGGACACCATCACCTCCTGGCTGGACACATCAGCCGACAAGGACGTCAGGGTCCACAGGGGGATCGGTACCCATGTGGGAAGAGCCAGTCCCTCGTGTGCTTCAGGCGTGTGCTGATGGAACTGGACCCAGTGAGTCCAGACATGAGGGCAGGTGCATCCGCATGGGTGGCCAGGTCCCCCGGCAGCACCAAGGGACACACGCCTTTCCTGGAAAGATCAGAGAGGTGCTGGCTAGAGCACTCTGTGACCCCAGACAGCATCCCAGGGAATACCGAAGGCCCAGTCACTCGACCAAGGGCACCCTTTTGCCTGGAGCTGAGGAATCTGCAGACAGACGCTCACCAGCTGCCTTTATTAGGGACTGGAAAACTCTAGAAAACAGCTCCATGATGTTCGGTATGACTGCAGTGGCAGAGGCAAACACCTGCGCACGCGCACACACACACACACACAATCACACACAATCACACACAGCAACGAGCCCAGATCCCAGAGAGGAGCTGCGTGGACCTCTCCTCCCGGCCCCAGCTCCTCTACTGGCCTTGAGCAGACCGCCACGCCTCTGCCCCACGCCCACGCGTAGGCGGGGTTCCTGTCTTCATGCCCCTAAGTCACCACCCCACAGACGGGCGTGAACAGCAGAAGCAGGCCTGCCCCAGCACCAAGTGTGCCCGCAGTGCCAGCACCCCGCGGAGCCCGCCGCAGGACTCCGCGCATTCCTGAGCGGCCCCGTGGCTCCAGGACGAGAGGTGAGCACAGAACACGTGTTACAGGGAATGTGGGGACTACTCGGGACCAGCTACGGCTAAAGAGACAGCTAAGGGACAAAACAGGGTGAGATGCTGAACTGAAAAATTAAAAAAACAAAAGCAAAGAAAAGGGTAAAAATGAAAAGGAAAACAGGATGGCACACGGAACGAGGGGGAGGGGACGCGACAGCACAGGGTGCCTCTGCTCGCGCTCTCGGAACAAGACACGCACTGCCGTGACGGGAGGTGTAGTTACCTGCGTCCGAGTCTGCAAAGAAGGGAACAGCCAGTGAGAGAAGGAAGGAACCAGAGATTCAGCGTCTCAGTCGCATTGACAACAGTTACACGGAGAGAAACACAGCATTTCCAGAAGCTACACCCGGACGGGGACACGGCAGCCACGGCGTGGCCTGCCATCTCCTCGTCAGCCTTACTTCAGGCAAGAAACAAAACATGGATGTGTTAACTAAAGAAGCAAACGCCTAATGGCAAAAAGCAAATGTCTTTCTTGCATGCAAAATGATTTCTACGTGCTTAGAATACGATATAAGGGGCAGGCGGGGTGGGGGGCAACATACTCAAACGCACGTTGGTGGTCTTACCATAAAAAAAAGTTCCTACCTACAGCTAAGGAATGCTGCATAGGATCTAGGAATAGCTTCAGTTCCCCATATCAGAGAAACATCCACCCGATACTTAGAGGAGAACTATGGGATTAGCGTGTGGAAGGAGCGGATTCACAGGTGAGACCTCAATTCAAGAGCACTTGTGGTTCCTCACTGCTGCCTCTAAGCACCACAGCTAATGGTCCTACGGAGCACCACTGGTACCCACGGCACGTCTCCTGCCCCGTGCGTCTTACAACTCTCTTCGCATGGCATCCATTCATGGGATGATTTAGAGACATGTGCAACCCTACGCGCCTACAAGGAGGCTGGCGCACAGACAGCATACCTTCGGGGGACTCCTCCTGCACGTACGTGCCAGTCAGGTACCGGTGCACCAGGGCAGACTTGCCGCTGGCCAAGTTACCCACAATGCCCTGCAACAAAGAACGGGACAACAGTTAGAGATCGTTAACACACGCAGCTCAGCAGACGGTAAGACATGGCTCTCCGAATGCAATCAAGCCCAATGTCGGCAGCTGCCACCGAAAGTGCTCACAGGATCTGGAGGCCTCCTGGGGTGGGGGGCGAGGTAAGAGCGCCTGTGCCGCTGGGACACATCCGGGCTCTGCATGCCGGTACCCAAGGTTCACCCGCTGCCTACACAGGTCTCACGCCCGGCACACACTTGGGAGGGTGCCAGGTGAGCCAGTGTGGTGGGGTGCAGCCCAGCAAGACGACCCTGGGGTAAAGTCCCGATGCAGGGCTGGAGGGGGAAGAGGGCAGCAGAGTGGGTGGGGGAGGCACGGGCCCCTCGGGATGAGGACAGCAAGCCCATGGGTGCTGGTGATGGGTTAGAAGTTAATCCTCAGGGCTGGCGTAGTGGTGCAGCTGGCATCCCTGTGGGTGCTCGTTCAGGTCCCAGCTGCTCCATTCCCCAGCGGGGCAGTGAATGAGCGCATGGAAGATTGCTCCGTCTCTGCATGACTTTGATTTTCCAACATGTAAGTAAATGTTTCCAGGAAAGAGAAGCTAGCACTCAAGGGTCAGGCAACAGCAGGGCTTGCTGCACTACCAGCTCCTGGGCAGGCAAGCTGAGTGCCAGGGGCTTCTTCAGGAAGGGTGGCCATGTCAGCACGGCCGACACCTGGCAATCTCAACCCCTCCACTGCTTTCCTCCCCACAACTACACCACACCTTGGAAAACATGAACCAGAAATGCAGCCGTAGGCACAGGTCACCCCCCAGCCACCTGCTACTTCTCCTAGCACAGCCAGACCTCACACTCGGTCTGCGCTGTCCCTTGTCCCTTGTCCACTTCCCGCTAGTTCAACTCCAAGACTACAAGGAGCTATCCACAAGTGCTCTGCAACTTTCTTCGCGACAACCACCATCCTGTGGCCCACGTGCTGTGCAGGGCCTACGCCCCAGACCTGCCGCTGATCCCCGACTTTGATTCTCCCATGTTCAGCCAGCCACACGCCATTCCCCACTACCAGGCACCCTCGCTCTCCACTGAGCCCACCCCAACCCACGGCGATTCTGCAGCTCCCTGCGGGAAGCATACATGTCTGCCACAAATACCTGTGTACTGACTAGGCCCACGCTCCGACCTCAATGTGGCCAAACTTCACCCTTCTCTCCCCAGGCTGCCCCTCACCCTGTATGAGTACATCCTGCCCAGCCTTTCAACCAGGGACGCCCCATGCAGAAGCCACCCCTGAGTCTACGCAGCCAGGCGTGATGGAAACCTCACCAACACTGTGGCCACCACACCACCCTGGAGCCATCCCCCCAGGGGTACTTCCTCTCCACCTCTGGGAATAGTGGATGGATGGATGGACGGACAAACGGACACATGGAGGGACAGGTAGGTGGGCAGGTGGAAGTAAGGATGGAGAAGTGGAGGGCAGAGGCAGGTTGGCGGGTGCCAGTCACTGGCAGAACAGCTAGAGGACAGACTGGTACGGGATGTGGTGAAGTGGGCTGATAGCTCCCAGGTCCTCCTCCTGTCCAGTCCCCATGGTTCAGGGTCCACTCTTTGGTGAGGGTGACCTCTCTGAAGTCGCCCTGCCCTGGCCCTCTGCCACCACAGCTGCCACCCTTCAGCCTCACAACTCCCCGCCTGGCCCTCTCGTCACTCCCCAGAAGCCTGCAGGTGTGGTCTGAGTGTGGGTCCAGGGCCCTGGGGAGCTCATATGGTCACAAGAGTGCAGCGTCTCGCAGGGGACTAGTGCGCTTGCAGAGAGGGCAGACAGACCCACGAGGACACAGGGAGAAAAGAGACACATGGGACACAGTGACATGAGGCATCCCTGCTCGGCAGGACACATGACTGGGTACCTAGCTGTGACAACATCCCAGGACAGGGCCTGGCTGTCCTCCGCAGCCCAAGGTGGACGGTCACGGCTGTGCCTGAGTCACTGTATGAACGAGTGACCGACAGATGCCAGCACCGCGGAGGAGACGTGGGGCACTTTGTGGCTGCAGCCCATGGCCAGATGCAGAGCCAGAGCCTGGGGACCAAACCCTAATGAAGCCGTCCCCCACCCGGATGGACTGCCATCATCCTCTTGCCTCTCCGGCCTCGGGGCCTCTATAATCCGAGGATGTCTAACCCGCTAATTATTCTTCTGGCTTGAGGGCACCTGCTGTTGTCAGCTTCATGCAAAGAATCCAGAAAAAATATGCCACTGAATCAAATTTTTAATTAAGATTTGAGTTTCTCCTTCCCGGGAAGAAAGTGGTGTGAGGTCAAATCCCTGGCCAGCCTGTGCCTTGCTGGCCTGGAAACGGCCTCCTCCCTCCCTGTGTGACCAGGGTACTGCGTTCCCCTGGGGGAGGCCATTGCTGTGCAGGCGTGGGGGCAGGTGGGAGAGCATTCTGTTCAGCTCGAACGGTCAGCCAGGGCTGGGGCCCGTCCAGGCCCACAGGCTGCCTGAGACCTATCCAATCATGGCCCAGACTCAAAATGCTGTAACAGCATAAACATCTCAATTGCCTTAACAAGAAAAAGGTTTCCCTGCCCTACACCACTGGGGCCACCACTGAGTCACGGGCAGCAGTGGAGGCAGGTAAGAGCTGACCATGGACAAAGGAAGAGGGCAGAGGATGGACAGGTCAGATGCCCTGCACTGGACGCCACCGGGAGGAAGCGCCAGCATGGGCCAACAGGCTGGGGGGCGTGGCTAGGTGTGCTAGGGACCCACACCTGCTGGGTGGACGTGGCTGTCACTACCATCACCGGGGCAGCAGGCTGTGAACTTTCCATTTGTGCATCACAGAGACAGGAGCGTGGGGGTTTTAGATCAGCTTTCTCCAGTGCCCTGCACTCGGCCACTCACCTGTTACACATGAGGCTGGCTGGAAGGAAAACCAAGCCTCTAAGTGAAAATGGCAGGTGGAAACTTAACGCTGACGGACAGAGAGACAGGAGGGATGACAAGCGGCTGGCAGGACCCCTCTGTGGGGGCAGGAGGCTGCTGTCGCCGGCAGAGAGCCTGCATGGCCGGACACCAAAGCACCTGATGACGCAACACCACCACCGTCTGAGCAAGCCCAACCCTGGCACCACCGCCCGTGGGCAGCACGGGTACTGAATGTGTTTCTCTCAAGCAGCCCAGGAGCCTGGTCGCGGAAGGCTCCAGAGACTCCAGCACAGGCTCGCTGTGACCTCATCGCTCAGGAGGCAGGGGCGGGGGACCCAGCATGAGGACTTCCAGGCCACCTGTCCGGGGCTGGGGAACAACGGCAGCCCTGTGGGCACGGGGAAGCTGAGTCTAGAACAAAGAACAAAGGGGGCGCTTTCTGCTCCGTGCAGGCCCGGAGCTGCCCACGGGGCTCTCCATCCCCACGTCCCTGAGAGAACTGTAGAACCACCCAGGACTCACATGAGCTTGCAGATCAGCGGGGTGAGGGCCTAGGTGAACCCAAGTCCCGCAGCGGCCCAGGGCATACAGCAATCACCGGAGAGGAGGCGGGGCTCACAGAAGGCAGAAATACTGACTTGAGGTCAAACGCCAGCTCTCCTTGGGCAAGGTCTGTGGGCCTTGGCTCTCACCCGGCCTGGGGAGCCCCAGCCCCACCCGCCAGGATGCCCTGCCCACAGAGGTGGGCAATGTCGGAAAACCCCAGGCCTGTGGTGTTAGGTTCCTGGCAGAGCCTCGTGCCCTGGGCTGCCTCAGGAGGTGCACCTGAACCAGGAAAGTCTCCCCAAGCACAGCCCGCACCACTCACTGGACCAGAACACCGTGTGTCCGGTGCAGCGGTTGCAGAATGTACACACGTGGCTGCCAGCGCAGTCTCATGGAATGCCGGGCTTCCTAGTGGGGTGCCAGGATAAGGGGTGCTCTCTTTCCCACCCAGAGAGAAACCCAGCGCTGCACAGGAGGCACGTGTTGTGGGGAGAGCGACAAGAGCACAGGGGAAGGAGCGCACACAGGTGACCACGGCTCACACCTGCAGGGGACAGCAAGGCCCAGCGCCCAGTCTCCCAGATCAGGCACCGCCCACACAAGGTCCTTGAGTTGTGGTGCTAAAAACCAGGTGTCCTTCCTGGTGGCAAAAGTCAGACCGGCTCTCACCAATGATCTCAACACTCATTGCTGACACCCGAGCGTCCCCAGCCCTGTCCTTGAAGCACTGCAGGACGGAGTGGTCTGTGGGCTACACACACACACACACACACACACACCCTCACAGGGCCAAGTGTGCAATGTGGGAAGAGTAAAATCTGTCTCCCCCCTTGATAAGAAAGTAGGGATACAGGGCAAGGTGGGTGTGGTGGGCGGGGGACAGGACCTCCCAGGGGTTGCTGCAACAGATCACCCTACACACGACCCGATTTCAAGTGTTTACAAAACTTCCACAAAGGGGAAAAGTTCTAATAAAGAACAAAACTTTAAATTTTATGCCAACATTGTGTAATAGGGCCCACAGTGATATTGCATAAGCCAAAAGGTGAACACTCAGCATTGAGAACTCCTAAGCACCTGCACCCACGTGCGCATGAGGACGGGTAGAGGAGGGAGGGATGGGGGTAGCGGGGTGTGTGGCCTTCCCCACTCTAGCTGGGTGGGGGAGGCAGCAGTGCGGGTGTGTGGTCCTCCCCAGTTTAGCTGGGTGGCTGCCCGGGCCATCATTGCTAAGCTCAGACCACATCCAGCCCAGCCCACAGTCAACTCAGCCTGCTCCACCTCTGGGCCCCTTTAGGAGAGGGACCAAAATGCTGAGGCCAGAAGAGGGACACTCACCACTTTCAGCTCTGGCACCGACCGGCTCAACGTCCACTCCTGGCTGTTCACGAAGGCATCTGCAGAGAGAAGAGCAGGGATGGGTGAGACAGCACAGCACCCAGAAGGACAAGCCCCAACACCCGGGCCCACAGATGACCCCAGAGAGCTCAGGAGCTGCCCTGACGCCAGCTGGGCAAAGTCAGACTGCAAACCTGGGGTCAGCAACACGCTCTGCAAGTTGGCAACTTCCTCCAGCACAAGCCACAGGCATTCCCAATGCCCAGAGTCTAACCAGAGAGCCACGGCCAGTGCTGTTACAGCGCTGCCCGGACTGCTGGAACCGGTCCTCCAGGCCGCTCTGGAAAGGACCACTTCTCTGAACTCCCATAGAGAAAGGAAAGCAGGCGACTAGACTGTGCCCACACAGTCACGACACTAGGTTGAACCACACCCCAGGGTTGAAACCTTGTGCTGGAGTCTCCATCCTTCTAAGACCAAAACGAGACGGGTCAGACAGTGCCAGGAAGACCAGGGGCCAACAGGGCACGATGGCTGGCCACCTCCCTAGGCAGCACCCTGGTGACAGCCTCACTAACCCACTCCACATAGATGAGTGTGCTTGCAACCAGCCTTCCTGTGCCCATGAGTGCCATGTCTTGTCATCAGTGAGGGCAGCAGATGTACCAGCTCCTGGGGCTGTCACCCAGGCAGGGGCAGCTACAGAAGAGCGGTGCCTGCTCTCGCCCAACCGAGGTAGGGTCCATCCCATACCCAGACACATCCAGCCCAAGGTCTAAGACAAGAAGAGGTGAAGAGAGTTACAGATTGTCTAAAGCCCAAGAAAAACCATCCTTTCCCAGCCCAGTGGTTCTGCCCCAGGACTAAAAATCTCCTTTCTGACCATCAATGGCTTCCGCAGGAACACATGCGCATGGTCTCACAGGATGCAGGTGTTGGGGTCATCTCAATGGTTCAGGATGATGGGATGAAGGTGAGGGGTGAGTGACAAGACTCCCCGGACCCTGAGAGCCACAAGATGCTGGCTGCTTGGGAACACACCCTCTGCTGCTCTGTTAACGGAAGCACGTTGGAGAGGGAGTGATGGTGCATCCGTCACGTGCCAGGGAGCAGAGAGCAGAAGAGAAGCCACAAGGGCTCCGCACATGGATGCCCCACTGTGCCCTGCACCCTCCAGCCACGTGTGGTGAAGATGCCAGGGCACCACACAGACGCGCAGGACCCTAACAAGCACCTGTGGGACCGACATTTCACCGCTGCGGGCTTAGCATGGCTGCGGGACAGTGAGGCCTTCTCACTGCCATCTTTGGGTCTTTTTAGATTTCAAACCAGCTGACACCTACAAGGTAAAGCCACCAGGTCTTCAAATGGGCCTTAATGGTAAAAAAAAAAAACAAACATTAGAACAATCCAGAAAGCACTCCTGGTTGATTGCACAGAAACAACCCAAGAATCATCACAATGCAACATTTTCAATCGTAAACAAAGAAGGGTTGCCAGTAAACACACACGCAGGCCTGTACACTTCTCTGGACCTGCAAACATCGCATCTGTGCCTGGCATAATCAGGCAAGGATAAATTCTCATCTCACATTTTTAAAAAATCACAAGCATTTATCTTAGAAGGTTCTATCACCCCAATTCCCAACAGCCTGCTATGGCCGGGCCACCATGCCCATGCGGAGTCAGAAGGCACAGTGCCCGCACTGAGGCCTGCCCACCAGAGGTCTGCTCCCCTAAGTCGATGGGCATTGAGCTGGGAGGCGGGGCCTCTGTCAGGGGCCAGGCTGTCAGCGTGCAGCCCTGTGATTAAGGCAGGGCCAGCAGCCACCCATAAGCGGCTTCTGAACATCCAATACAACTCAATGCACTGGGGCTGTGGCCACAGGCTGTGCCTGGCTGTCCCGCACACAGTGCCAAGATGCTAGTCAATCCTGATGGGTCACAACACAGCAGAAATCCAAACTGCACCTCACTGTTTACATGGAAATCCTAAATCCAACAGGGGAGATGAAGTAAGATGCCAAGCTCTCCGCTCCTCTGGAAGAGAAATCAGACAGTAGTCAGAACAGGCAGCTCTAGGGGTGGCCGTACAGACATGGCCCAGCAGGGACAGGAATGAGGACACAGCAGGGGTCACGGGTGGGAGAGGGATGGTGTTACAAGGAGAGACGTGAAATCTATGACTGACGCCATGTTTTGGAACACGAAGCCCTGGTTGTGCTCCTGGGACAGCTGAGATAGCAGGAGTCGCAGGGCAGCAAGCCCAAGGCCCAGTGTGGACATGAGCACATGCCCATGTGCAGAGACCTCATCTTGCAGTGACCTGGCCTCAGACTCCGGCTCAGCTCCAGGAATGCAGGTGTTGCAGGTACACAGGGCACAATGTCCTATGGGTGGTGAGCACCTGGACACCCCGGAGACAGCACTGCCCCACCAACGGCAGAGCCAGTGGCAATTACCGGAGCAGACGAGAAAGGTTGTGGCTCAGCTGCAAGCGGACACCTACGGGGCACCCACAGCAGCTGCCTTCCTAACAGGACCTTGGTGCAGCCAGCTCCACCAGGCAGACACGAACCCCGTTCATGCTGCATCGCACCTTGTAAGATGTGTATGGAAGGCAAGTGCCCCAAGCGTCCCTCCGACTAAGGGACAGAGACCCCGCAGGCTAGACATGAGCAGACAAGCAGAGGGCTGTTCAGGAGCACAGCCAGCGGGGCCCAGAGCAGCGGTCAGAGTCACACGCACACTCGCAGGACGGTGGCTGCATCCTGCGCTGAACAATCCCAGGCAGTCCTCAGAAAGCATCTTTGCCCTGAGCTTAGCACACAGCTGCCAGGGACTCAGGCTCAGCTCAGAGCCACGCTCTGCCCCCTCTGCACCAGGCAAGCAGAGAAGGCAAAGCGGGGCCAGCAGCCACTGCCTTGGGCATCTGCCCTCCCAGGGCCACCTCCAGTGCTGGCTCTCCACCTGTCAGGTCAAACATGAAAGACAGGGTGGAGCAAGGAGCTGCAGGAAGACACAAGTAAAGAACAAAACCACCAGGCTCGTCAGTGGCTTATTTTTACTTCTTGGCAGAACTCTGGTGTCACTGCCCAGAGTTCCTTTAAGTTCACCACGCCGACATGCCCCCTCCGCCCTCTGCTTGCGAAGGGTTCCAGCCTGCGGATTCCACAGGGACCAGCCCTATCCTAGCTGTGTGTTCAATCCCCCATTCTTACGGCTGAACCGAGGCCATCACTACACTCTGCACAGAAGATGTGCTTGGATTTCAACACCAGAACCCTTCACCTAGGGAACAGCGCCTGGGTGGGAGAGTGAGTGGGCACACATGCTCACTGCCCTCCTGCTTCAGGACGGCCTGTCCGCTGGCCTGCCACTCTCAGGCACCAGGCCTGCAGGTGGAGAGGCAGCCCAGCGCTGGCCCGCAGGTGCACAGGCGGCCCAGCACTGGCCCAGCGTGGCAAATCCCAGCAGCTCTGTGTGTTTTGCCCTGGGGCTGCTCTGTCATTACAGCACTGTGTGCTCCATGCCCTCTGCTTGCCATCTCTCAGAACCCAAGGACTCAAGTCTTGAGACTGGGCTTTAGGCAAAGTAGGTGAAAACCAGCCTGCACTGGTCCAGCCTCTCGCACTCACAGCTGAGGTGTGTGCGAGAACGGGGCATGCTCAGAGCTGCTTGAGGTTCCAGGGACCAAGGTCATGGTGAAATCGCCTGTTCCTGACCCCTTACTTTTCATGGGGAGCGGGGGCTGGAGCTGGCAGTTCCTCCAGCCCCAGGGCCGCAGGCTGGCCCCTCCTTTCTCATTCCAGGTTGAACCCTGTATCCTGCAGACAGAACTTCCAACTTCACAAACATATTATGGGTAACTTCTCAGCGGGGCTGGAACACTTACAAAGGGAACATGTTCTGTTTTTAAAAACTTCAACCCATGCTGGAGACAGGGAGCACCGGCCGGAAGTGGAGCCAGGCCTCAGACCCAGGACACTGGGGTGTGCGAGGCAGCCATCTTAACGGCTAGCTCCTGTCCAAACGCTGCCCTTCGCCGTCTCCGCCCCTCTGGCCAGCCCGGGCATCCCACAAAAGGGCCTGGAAGGCTTCCCACAGGGAGGACGAGCATACCACAGATTCAGGGCTCCCTGTAACAGAAGCAGGGCCGTGCACTCCTTCCATCACAGGTCATAAGGGTGAGCTGCCGGGCTCGGGTGCCGGAATCTGTATTAGACCTAACTTCCCTCCAGAGTGAATGTGCACACATACACACACACACACACACACACACACACACACACACACACACACACACACAAAACTTCTCAGCCCACATTCTGACTCCGCAGCTACAGGACTTCCAAAACTTTGCAAATATCATGAGAAGGGAGAGTGGGGCCTTCATTCACTGAGGCGCATGTCTCAGTGAATGAATGTCTGAGGCATCAGACATCCTGTCTTGCTGTCCATTCTTCGTGTCTCTTGTCCCCCAATCTCTCCTAGGTGGTTGCGACCCCCGTTGACTGTCCTGCTGGACGGGACAGGCCCTGACCCCAACATGGCGGCCTTGCATCTAGCCCTGAACCCCGGCATCCGTGGAAGAGGCCCACTCTTCACAGTGGAAGGCCTCCTTCCTTCTGGGAGTTTCTGGACCTGATGTTGTCAAGAGCATGGCTTCTGATGCGGTGCTTCCTGGGGACCTGACCTGCGCTTCCTGCTCTCTCACGGCAATGCTGGGGCCAAGGTGAGGATAGAGACTTGGGCAGACAGCCTGAAACGCACACAGGAATAGCCCCGAGAGCTCATGTGGCCCCCAACTCCACAGCGGGGCAGACATACGGTGCAGGGGGTCGTCGCCCCAGCCACAAGCAAGCACATCGGGTGACACGGTACGGCCACAGGCTCGTCAGTACTGAGGAAGAATGGCAACTTGCTAAATTGCCATTTATAGCAAACATCACAGCATGGGGGTTGGGAGGAGAGAGAGAGAGAGAGAAAAGGCAGGCGTGGGATCTGGTCACTTAAACTCCATAGAGAGTTCTGGAACTCCACAACTCCTCCAACAGCA